ATAAAACCAATTAAATTATATCACAAGTCTGACTCTGACTCAAGTCTATCCTTTTGCTGTATGAGTTATCCAGCTTTCCGTTCGATGGTTTCTAAGAAAAAGTTGGAACAGGAAGTCATGTTGGTACTGGTAAAGAAAACCGGTGAGTCTTCTTCTTCCTGTCCTCCGACGATTGAAAGTCTTCTCTCTGAATATAAGGATCTACAGAAAGAACCCACCGGAATTACTGAACGCACTATAAAGCATACTATTGAGATTATTCCGGGTACTAAAATTCCCAAGGGACCTATCTATCGAATGTCTTCCAGGGAACTTGAGGAGTTAAAGAAGCAATTGCAGGACCTTACTGACAAGTGATGGATTCGCCCTAGTTCATCTCCTTATGGAGCACCTGTCTTGTTTGTGCCCAAAAAGGAAGGTGAATTGCGTCTATGTATTGACTATCGAGGGTTGAATGTCGTCACTGTCAAGAATGYCGAACCACTCCCTCGCATCGACGATTTACTTGACCAACTACAGGGATGCAMGTACTTCAGWAAAATTGATYTGAAGTCTGGGTACCATCAGATTGAGGTGGAACCCGCAGATCAACACAAGACTGCCTTCCGGACCAGGTATGGCCATTATGAGTTTATGGTAATGCCCTTCGGATTGACTAATGCTCCTGCTACATTCCAACGGTCAATGAACGAGTTATTTTGTCAATTGTTGGATCAATTCGTCATCATCTATCTGGATGACATTCTCGTATATAGTAAAACATTAGAAGAACACGAGAAGCATCTTCGTCTGGTTTTGAGTAAGTTGCGAGAAGGCAACTTCAAAATCAACCCGAAGAAGTCTGAGTTCGCTAAGTCTGAAGTTTTATACTTAGGACATATAGTGAACCAAGATGGCCTCAGGCCTGAAGAAAAGAAAATATCAGCAATTAGAGATTGGCCACAACCTAAGTTTGTAACTGAGCTACGATCTTTTCTTGGCTTGGCAAGCTACTATAGGAARTTTGTCAGGAACTTCTCATTGATCGCTGCACCAATGAGAAGATTGTTAAAGAAAGGAACGATCTGGTTGTGGGACAAGGATTGTGAGTACTCGTTCAAAAAGGTGAAGTACGCTCTGACTCATTACCCTGTTCTGAAAAATGTTGATCTCACCACTGATGCAAGTCAGTATGGGATTGGCGCAGTTCTTCAACAGAACGACGACAATGGTTTTAGACCAATTGAGTTTATGTCTGCACGATTGCCATCTGAAAAGGTTGCCAATTCTACATATAAAAAGGAATTGTATGCGTTAGTCTGTGCCTTAGACACCTGGAAACACTATCTATTAGGGAGACACTTTACTGTGTACTCAGACCACTCTACCCCGAAGTGGATAAAGACACAGCCTAGGCTCTCTGATAAACTAGTACGATGGTCTGCATTCATTGATACTTTTGATTTTGAGTTGAACACTATCAAAGGTAAGTCTAACGTTGTTGCAGATGCATTGTCTAGAAGATGTGATTTCTTTGGTGTCATTGTCTCTTACCTAGACGTTGGGAATGATCTAAAAGATAGAATTTGCCAAGGCTATGTTAATGATCCTATATGGAAACCTATCATGGATGTCCTTGCGAAAGACCCGAATCTACTTCCCAACTATAAGATAACCGATGGTTTGCTTTTCTTGTTGGACCAAACTGAACAACGATTGTGTATTCCTCGTCAGGAAGAAATCAAAAGTCTGATTATTGGGGAATGTCACGACGCCGAAGGTCATTTTGGTTTCAAGAAAACCTACGCTGAAGTTAGAAAACGCTTTGAATGGAAGGGATTGAAAGAGGATGTACTAACTTATGTTCGTACTTGTCTTGTATGTCAGAGAAACAAACCCTCACATGAGAATCCACTTGGACTTCTCAAACCGTTACCAATTCCAAGCGAACCAGGTGAGTCTATTTCCATGGATTTCATGAGTCTCACCAAAAGTCGGAATGGCAATAGCCAAATGATGGTGATCGTGGATCGTTTCTCTAAATATGCTATGTTCATTCCCTTACCCGAAAAAGCCAGAACGGAACTTGTGATCCAAAAGTTTCAGATGCGATGGGTGACTAAATATGGTTTCCCTTTATCCATTGTATCTGATAGAGATACCAGGTTCACAAGTATGCCATGGCAAAAACTGATGGATAGAGATACCGGGTTCACAAGTATGCCATGGCAAAAACTGATGGAGGTATACGATACAAGTCTGACCATGTCGTCAGGTAGACACCCTGAAACGAATGGGCAGAGTAAACAAATGAACCGTTTGTGCCAACAGCTTCTGCGCATGTACGTAAGACCCGATCAAATAGATTGGGATGAGAACTYACCTAAGATAGCAAGTGCATATAATAGTAGTGTTCATACCTCTACAGGACGAACACCTAACGCACTGCATAAAGGGTGGAAACCTAAGCGTCCCATTGATGTATTGACGAGGGACCAGTTTCTTAGGTTACCTCCAGGGACCCGCGAATACGCAGTATTGTTTCAAGAAGACATTAAAAAGGTAAAGGAGAACTTAAAGAAAGCTCAGGACCGGATGATCGAACAAGCTAATAAGCATCGACGACCATCAACGTTCAAAGAAGGTGATTTGGTCTGGGTCAAGTCTAAAGAGTTTTCACTAGAAGAAAATGTCTCTCAGAAACTCCTACCTGTCTATTTTGGACCCTGGGAAGTTCTTAAAGTGATTAGAGATGCAGAGGGACTGTCTTATAGGATTGATATACCCCCTCATCTCAGGACCTATTCTGTTTTTCATACGTCTAAATTGTTACCTTATGTAGAAGGAGATGAATTCCCCCATAGACCATCTATGATACCGCCAGATATGGATGGTGGATATGAAGTGGACCGAATTATAGAACAAGGATTCTTCTCTACAGGTGCACGAGGACGACCCCAGAAGCAATTCAAGGTTCGTTTTAAAAGTCAGAACCCATCTGAGGACAGATGGTTTAGTAAAAGAGAACTCCTTGAATCTGCTCCTGATATCGTCTCTGCTTATGAAAGTGGGTTGAAGTCTTAAATGTTTCTGCGATGGAACTCGAAATTTGGGTCGGCAGGAATGCAGTAACCCTGTTCAGCAGCAGACCGGGGCTCAGAACTTTGCCCCCGGTAAGACACAGACTCAGTTGTCTGTGCTGGGCTATGTGACCGAGAC